ACAACTTCCAAAACACAACTTTTATGTCTAATCTAGCCTTTGCCTTGCACATAACAGGTTTTAAAGACAGTTAACTTTGAGCTTCATGTTCAGGAGCCTTTCTTTACTCAGCTAAAAGGTACTTCTATTAGATTATCTGTGCATTCTTAAGCTTGTGCTAGATGGTATACGTATACTGAATACGTAAACAAGAACAGTTAAAAATCAAACCTCTCTCACTTGAGAGCGCTCAGTGCACGGCACACGTTATACAAAAAAACACGAGCACCGTAAGAGTATAGGTATAAGAGAGTGAGGCAGCTTTTTAAATCTTAGCTTAAGCTTCTGAATCTTTTTGAGAATATGATTTTACTTGTTGATCTATTGGGCAGTCTTGTGATATTTAGCATGGATTTGTCTGATGCAATATCTTACTGGTTGTAGATGGCCTAAAGACAGTGGAAGGAAGATGTGCTGCTGGTGATTACATTCGGTATTGTAAATACTTTTCCATAATAAAATTACTTTCTTTGCTCGCTTTGTTTATTTTTTCATAATTTTCTTAATCATTTATTTGTGCCATAAACAAACGATTTTCTTCGTAGAAAAAAGCAAATACTATTTAAAAGATGTTACAATATTGGAGACTTTTGAGTTGCTATAGTTGTGAAATATTACATTGGTTCTTTGTAATTTGGCAAGATTGTCTTGAACTTGACAAAACAACTTGAATGTCAAAGCGTGTTAGGAATCACGAACCTCTACAATGGTATGATATTGTCCACTTTGAGCATAAGCTCTCGTGGCTTTGTTTTTGGTTTCCCCAAAAGGCTTCATACCAATGGAGATGTTATTCCTTGTTTATAAACTTGTGATCAACCTCTTAATTAGCTGATGTGGGACTCCTCTCCCAACAATCCTCCCCTCGAACAAAGTACACCATAGAGTCTCGCCTGAGGCCTATGGAGCCCTCGAACAACCTCCCCTTAATCGAGGCTCGACTCCTTCTTTGGAGCTCTCGAATAAAGTACACCCTTTGTTCAACACTTGAGTCACTTTTAACTACATCTTCGAGGCTCCCAATTTCTTTGTTCAACATTTGAGGATTCTAGTGGCATGACTAAGTTAAGGACATGGCTCGATACTATGTTAGGAACCATGACTCTCCACAATGGTATGATATTGTCCACTTTGAGCATAAGCTCTCCTGGCTTTGCTTTTGGTTTCCCCAAAGAGTCTAATACAAATGGAGATGTATTTCTTACTTATAAACTCATGATCAACCAACATTTAATTCTCTACTAATTTTTAACTATCTTCTTTGGTTCAGAATTCAGCCTGGAGCCTTGATACTTTTCAATAAATGTTTGTTGTTTGAGGTTCAGGTATTAATTCTGCAAAAATCAAAACATTGACATTTCTCCACCATCCATCGTTTCCATACAAAGTTTTTAAACTCTGCAGGATGTTCGTCAATACCCTTCATTTTCTGCAATGTTGGAAGCAGAAAGTCTCGATAAAGTTCTTCCTGGAGTAAAAACCTTAACAGATGGTAAGATAACAACCTATGTACTTTTTTTTTTCTTTTCTTTTTTGATGAAACAAATAAAAACCTATATTGTTAACTTTCATTTCATTCAACTTTCATGATCTTATACTCGTAATAATATATAAGCTTTGGAAAACATTATTTGTTATTACCTTCTAAGGTCATAAGATCCATAAACTTATCCAATCTGGTTGGTTTGCTGATACATAATCCCTTTTATTCTCATTTTTGTGCAAAATGATCCAGCTGCTATCTGAATATTGTACGAGTTATGAACTGCAACTTGCTTCAGGTGTTCAAATATACAGGAATTTCTATTCTGAAGAGAAAGAACAGTCCAATGGTGTCCTTGGAATTCATGTCAAAAAATCTGCTGTCCAGCCATCCGTTATTTTGTCCAGAATTATATCTGTGAGTTTGATTGCTTCCCTACTTTTCCTTACCTACTTTCTTTGTTGCTAAGTATGAGACCCCACGTCGGTTGGGGAGAAGAACGAAACATTCTTTATAACGTAACCTCTCCCTAGCAAACACGTTTTAAAAACCTTGAGAGAAAATCTGAAAGGAAAAGTCCAAATAGGACGATATCTGCTAACCGTAGCCGTGGGCTTGGACTTGGGCTGTCCCCTAAAGTTTCTAAGTCTACCACAAGGACCAGAGAAAAACTTTAGCCTTCTTTGGACCATTATGCTTCCATGTTAGGCTAGTTCAATCCATATTAGGTTGGTAGGTTTAGTTGATAAAGTTTGAAAGCCATACCTGCTAGAGTATCTGTCGGATCCCTCAAGGTAACAAAGGATTCGGTCAGCACCATCCCTCAAATGCACTGCACAACGGCCACCCAACTGTATAGTTCTTTGTCACAAAAGACATCTTTTAATGACCAACAATCCAATATAGAGGCTATAAATAATATTAGTAGATTTAATGCATAATATTTGAAAAAAAATATTCTTCTCTCCCTTCCCGTCTTATCTTTCTCGTCTTCGTCACGTCACTCCTTCCATCGTGTAGCATCAACTAGACAAATCTTCCATCAACATTTTGTTACGTTAGCTAATAAAAGTTTCGACATAGACCAAATAAAATAATTTTACAAAATTAAGAGATAAAATTTAAGATAATTTGAAAAAAAACGTATTTTTTAATTAATCCTACAAACTAACAAAATATTTTGATGTTTGGTCAGGGATTAGGCTACAATGCTATTCAGAGCTTTCTTGGCTTTTCAAGCACAGAAGAAGCACTCTAGGGTAATAATCTCAACTACCTAAACAATTTGGCTTTCTCCTTTATTATTATGATTATTATTATTATATTTCTGGATAAAAGCTTATATAAAGCTAAGGTAGATCTGGAAAGTGTAGTAAAAAAGAGCATTTATGTTCTCTTTTAGCCAAAGACTAAGTTTATTTGCAATTCTACGTAGTTTACGTTGTATACTTAGAATCATTCAAGCTTGACATGGTCGATCTTACTTGTAGAGTGATTTGAATATCAAACAAGTGTTTTTGCCCTGACATATTCGATCAATAAGGTAATTCGAATCTCACTTTCTCTTGAGGTGATTCCTTATCGTTTTGAGATTATTAGATATATTGTAAAAATCTTATTCTTCAATAAGAGTATTAGATCAAATTCTCAAGAGTTGCAATCATCTGGAATGATTTCAAAATCGATTTGAAAGTTTTAGCATTTGTAAACTAAGAGTTTGCATATCTAGTATAACGGTTCTTAGATTTAACTCACTAGAATTATCGTATCAAGTAGACTCTTCAACTTTTTTTCAGAGAATCCGATACTTTATTCCATATCTTTATATATATATTTGTTTTATTTATGTCATATTCTTGCGTTGAATATAGGTTTTGTCAAAAGTGTATAATACGTCTCGAACTTCTAATTTTAATTCTATGGACTTATTAGACGTCAAATTCAAAAGCTAGAGACTTAGTAGACATAAGATTAAAAGCTCAAGGACCTATAAGACAAAAGTTTAGGACTAAATTACGTTTATTATTTTAATATTACATAATCTTTATCGTAATGTTTGAATAAGAACAATAGAAAGCTTTTATTCGAGGCATTTTTATATTAGGCATAGTTAGATTGAGCTACTTTTTAACCCCTCTTTCCACAGTCTTCTTCCAAAAGGAGAGATTTATTTAGTGGAAAGGTGAGCACTTTTGAAACTAATTTAAATATTCCTTTTTTTTTTATTAAAAAAAAGGAGAGAGATTATGGTTTTTAATTTATTTTATTCTCACATGTCGTGTCTATTATTCCACTTTAATTTCATTAAAAAAAGAATTCAATAATTCGTATTAATATTTAATTAAATGCAAATTTTGATTAATGAGCATAAATATCTGTCGAGATGGATGGCATTTATTTCATCATATTCCTTTGTTCATTATTGCACCAAATTCCAATGTGAAATCAAGTTTGTGTTCCTATTTTTCTCACCTATAAAATTTTTATATTGTATTTAGCATTTATTTTCATACCTAGATTATAAAATTTTGTTTGGATCAGAGCTCAAAAGGTTAGAGGTTGGAATTCTCTCGATGTATTAAAAAAATAGAGGCTGCATTGTTAATTATTGAGCTGTGTTATAATTGAACAGGAGAGAAAAATGCAAGAACATTGACATATTGATGACATGATATTGGCGTACAGAAATAAGAAATACAAATAACGCATAAAGTACCTTTTCAAATCACTGCCTAAGGGATATATATATATATATATATAATAGTTTTACCAGATATAACTATCTACTATACACAACTGTGTATATATAATATAACTTTTTACTGTAGTTATTTATAACCACCAAACAAGTTATAAATAAGTTCCTTAACTTAACATTATGTTCATGTAAAGAAGATAGGTAATAAAGGCTTGAGATATTCATAATTAACGTAAGATTCTCGTTATATCAATATTTGTTTACTTTTAATTAAAATATTTAGATTTCAGTTAAGTTGTGACTACCATAGGCAGATAGACAGGTGTCATAGTGTGATCGAGGAAGATTAATCCAACATAAGGTTGAACCTTACGACTTGACTTAGAGTAGAGACAAGTCGACTAGAGTTATAATCAAATGAAAATACATGTACATGCGGCGTGTATAGTCGAATGAAACTTGATTTTTGCATGAGTTATATTCAGTCGGCGAGGAAGAATCTCGCTTAAAGTTCGACAAAGTCACAAAGAGGAACGAAAAAAATAATGGGGGCTTGAGTTTCTCCGACCATGATTGTAATAGCATAAATCCGCTGTTAGTAAATATTATTTATTTTGTCCCGTTACATATTGTCGTTGTTAGCTTCACAAGTTTAAAACACGTCGGGTAGGGAGAGGTTTTCATATCATTATAAGAAATATTTGGTTCCGACTGCATCAGTTAGATCTCACTGTCTAAATCATAATACGATCAATTATTAGTAGTTGTAATTTTATATTATGATTTATGAGTGTGAAAGAAGGAAAAGTTGTTTATAAAAAGTTAGCGGCCTTTTCTGGAGTGAAGCGCCAGGTGCAGCGGCAGCACCCGCCGCCGCCTGAGGCGCATCAAGATTCAATGCCAACAGTAGCCGGAAACCCCAACAATAAAGCCAACCCCTCGCGCCTCTTTCCCTCCGCCATTGCCACTTTTTCCTCTTCCTCGATTGCCTTCTCCCTTCTCTCCAGGTTAATTTTCCTCATCTCTCTCTCTCTCTCTCTCTCGCGCTCCAGATTTCGTTTCTCCATGTTTCTCTCTTCTTTTTCTAAATTTTTTTTATCGTTTGATCCGCCTAAATATTCTGTGAATTTCCCCCTTATTTTCGTTTCATTGCCCCTGAACTCTAGTTTGAATCTGGAAATGAGGAACAAGCGTTTTCGTTCTCGATGCTTTCACTTTTTGATCATGCGCATTAGTTTTTAGATCAGGATTCCGGTTCCTCTTTTCGTTTTTTCTTTCTATCTGTTCGGCTAGAAGGAATTCGCGGATTCAATTTCTCTTATAATGTTTGATCTCCGTTTTTCTTGTTTATTTGAATCTATAGTTTCAACTTATAGGGATTTACTGTGTCTTTTATATTGTCTACGGTTATTTTTGCATTAGATTTTTTGTAGCAGATGATATTGTGTTCATAAAGGATACTTGCTCTGGGAGGGAGTTCATGTTAATCCCTGATGTTGTCTGATTAACACTTTTTTTTCGTTCCATTTCATATTTCTCTGGTTATTGCTATTTTCTATGTGACAGAAGCCAATTGTTTTTAGTTCTGTAGGCCATGTTTAAGATTCCAGATCATCAAGTTGCTGGGCATCAAGCCAGTAATGGAATGATGGGCCCTGTTGTGGATGATTCTGGTCTCTTCTTCAAGCCTCTACAAAAGGACGAAAGAGGATCCAAGGAGGTGGCCTTCTATGAATCATTGGCTTCAAATATCGACGTTCCAGATAAAATCCGTGCCTACTTCCCTACCTTCCATGGAACCCAGCTTATACCTGCATCAGACGGTTCTGGCTTGCATCCACATCTTGTCTTGCAGGATCTCGTATCCAGTTACAAAAATCCATCCATTATGGATATCAAGATCGGTTCCAGAACTTGGTATCCACAGGCTTCTGAGGAGTACATCCAAAGGTGCTTTAAGAAGGATAGAGAAACCTCCAGCTTGGCTCTGGGGTTTAGGCTGTCGGGCTTGCAGGTCCATGTGAGCAAAGAAGCTGGATACTGGAAGCCAGACAGGAAATGTTTTCAGAACTCTTCAGCTGAGATAGTTAAGAATGTTCTGAAGAAATTTGTTTCTTCAAACATTTCTGCAGATTTGGATGCGGGTGATCTTGATTTTGATTGTGCTTTCGCTCCATCAGTTTATGGTGGTTCAAATGGGATTTTGGCACAATTATTGGAGCTCAAGAGTTGGTTTGAAGATCAGAAGTTTTACCATTTCTATTCTTGCTCAGTGCTGATGGTGTGGGATAAAGAACCTAATGCTGCAGCAGCTATTAAACTCGTTGATTTTGCACACGTTGTAGATAGCAAATGTGCTATTGATCATAATTTCCTAGGTGGGCTATGTTCTTTGATCAAGTTCATCTCGGAGATCTTGACCAATCCTCACGCCTGCCCGAACAAACCTTGCTCTGATAGCAATTCGAACTGCAATGGCGATAGCTCTGATAGGTGAGCCAGAGTATTGAGGTTTGAAACATTGTGTTTATGAAGGATCATATCAGTCTTCAAACTGAACTATGATCCCATATGCTTTTATCTTATTTGGTTACTGGATGTTTTTGTGGAAGTAATTCCTTTCTACTTTGTTGGAACTTCAAGAACAAAATCTGTTGAGTTATTGATCAGCCCTTTACTGAAGTTGGTCTGATAGATTTCTTTGTACTTTATTTCACATGGGTCCTCCCAAGGCTGCAATCTTTGAAAGAAGTTGGTTTAATCAATGATACAATGTTTTTTTTTTTTTTTTTTTTTTTTTTTTTTTTTTTTTTTTTTTTTTTTTTTTT